AATGAATTATTTATTGCAAATGATTATGATGATCAGTAAATTTATGCATTGCTGGCCATCTCGGACACAAAGGCAAACTAAAATAGCTGTTAAGTGCGCAGGTGACCATGAGCACACGCCTCACAACAAGCTGTCCCCCCCCCCCAAGGAAGTTTGTTACGAATTTTTAATTGTTTTATCATTTAAAAGGGTTTAAAAATATTTTGGCAAAAGTTAATTTTTTCGATTTACCTCTGGGTGGGGGGGTACTGTCAGTGGCACCCTAACCCGGGGCTTAAGGGCATTCTTAAATAGAAATAATGAAAGAATTTAAGTACAGTATAGTATTATATATTACAACACACTATACCATCTAAAGCCCAAAGAACAACAAAATATTCCCTAGCAAATGATGGAGGATTGAAATTGCCAGGGTATAAGTTCACCAAACGAAAAATGGCTTTTATATGTGATTCGTGCATTGAGGATACGAATTGTACACCAAAATGTGACACACTGGTTCCATAACTTGGCCATGGAATGCATGACTGTACCTTATAATGGAAACAAATTTGTACTCTTGATCTACCTGTTGAATACCTTAAGTTTTGGGTAAATTTATAAATCATACAGTTCTGCATAATAAAATCCTAGTAGATTAATGGGAATACTGTAAGTATCAAATACTAAATAAAAGATCCACAAACATCATATATTAAATAAAAGATCCACAAACATCATATATTAAATAAAAGATCCACAAACATCATATATTAAATAAAAGATCCACAAACATCACATATTAAATAAAATCCAAGTTCCTAAGGGAAATGAGATCGTCATAAATTTACCAAGTTGGGATGGTTTTCAGACACCTCATTCAACCAAAAGTAACTAAACTAAATACAACTGAAATCATAAATCAACATTCCAACACAAAATCACTAAATGTATACGTAATTAAATGAACATTCTTCGATACATATGTTAGCAGACGATGCTAAGTAGTTGAGAGACATTTAAAGTTCAATTGACAAGCTTGGTGTTGAAAGAGCTCGCACTTGGTACCATCACAACATTCTCAAGCAGATTGGCCTGCCCTCTGGTGTCTTAGCTGAAGAGTTGTTAGTCCTAAGGCCATCAGTGCACTTGGATAATTGAGATGAAATAGTTCAGGCATCCTCTTAGTAGCTCTGTGTTGCATCTTTTCTACGGATACTAAGTTTTTATGGGGATGTGGTCTCCATGCCTGTATACAGATAAAATTTTCTTCCAGGTTATAAGTTTTGCTTCCACACACAAACTCAGTTAAATGTTTGTTTTATTTCTTCAATGACAGGACATAGAAATTATCATTGTATAAAGTACAGTATATTTACTTTGAATAAAGCAAACAGACTATTTACAAGTTGACAGATCCTAAAGTTGAGTTAAATGTGTTTATTTACCTGCCTGCAGCTGCTCCTCACCTGTCACATACTTTATAAATAATTATTGTCTGTTGGGCCAGGTGACAACAGACAAGGATGAGACATGTGTAGCTACACCTGCAGTAGCTGGTGGTGCAGCTGTGGTGGTGTTAGTGCAGATGTGGTGGTGGTGCTGCTGTGGTGGTGTAAGTGCAGCTGTGGTGGTGGTGTAGCTGTGGTGGTAGTGCTGCTGTGGTGGTGGTGGTGCTAGTGTTGGTGCAGCTGTGGTGCTGCTGTGGTGGTGGTGGTGTTAGTGTTGTTGGTGGTGCAGCTGTGGTGGTGGTGCTGCTGGTGGTAGTGCTGCTGTGGTGTTGGTGGTGGTGTAGTGGAAGGACTTACATAACCTATGAAAACACAACCACTTAATATCCTCTCTGTGCCAATCAGGGAGAGGACTGTACATAGTTTAATAGTCGGTTCTGCTATCTGGATGTACTGTACAAGGTTGGTTACTATTAACTTACTATTATCACCACTTCTCACCATTTATTTCCATATCATTTCTATCCACTCTGGTACATTTGTTCCTAGACTTTCTTTAAAATCAACTTTAGTTTCTGTCGATTTACAATGGCACTAGAGAGGTTTTCATTACTTCAAGGTTACTTCCCTCAGTCATAAGATGGGATTCCACACTTTTATCCTTCATTCTTCCTCTAACTTAACTTAACCCCACTAAACACTTCGACAACCAAAAAGCATGTGATGTTACCTTCCTTATTTTCTCCCATCATTTCTATGCAGTTCACTTAACCTGTTTGCCATGAACTACTACAAGGTGAAGAAAACAGAGAATGGAGAAAGGGAAAATGTTAAGGAAGAACCAAGAAGCTGAGGAAAGTAAAGTATGATTGTAAACAAATAATGATAAGAACTAAGGGCAGAGAGATAAATGCACATAAGGTGGAAGGTGACCAAAAGCAGCATATGGAATCAAACTAGAAATACAAATATGGAGTAAGTGTCTCATAAAGGAAAGAGAAATAAAAAGTAATGATTGGAAGGCCATGGGTTTTATAAAAGAGATTAGGTGGTTTGTGGTCAGCCCTCAACATGGCTAGTGAAGGGAATAGAATACAGTACTGCACAGGGCCAAGTGCTACCTTATCTAACCTGACCTGACCTGACCCGACCCAACCCAACCTAGCATGACTCTTGGTAGACCACACGCTATAGTAGCACCCAGGGCGTCACCACTTAGTAGTGTCATATATTAATCTTTCCCATAAGTAATAATGTAAATAAGGGTTAGGTTAGGTTTCTGCAATTTCTTTTCACCAGATAAAAGACTAAGAAAGCAAGATCAATTTCTAGGGTACTGTACCTGGACTGAACTTTTTGTACAGAAATATATATAAATTAAAATAAAAAATAAAACAAAACATAAGTACAAATAAATAGGGAAAATATTATAGATCAATAAAACAAACAAAAAATACACACAAAAAGATATTATACAAAATAAAATACAATTGAGAGATGTGAACAAATCTCCCTACTGGCAGCTATCCCCCACCTGATGACTGCCACCTACCAACACCTGGTAAAGCCAACATCACCATCTACACCTATTTCAAGCATGTTTCTGCCATTAAAACAATAAGAATATGTACTAAATATAAGAAGACATAAAAGAGTTACCGGTGCAGGATATAGGTAAATTGTGGTACGGAGTGATTTATTGAGTACTCTCCCACTAATTGCTGTGATATGTCTCTGTGTACATAAAAGGTTCTCATTGATTTACGTACACGATTTGAATATTTTTGTCTTAACGATGACACTGAAAAAATGACATTCCACAATCTCCATTACCTGATTTTGGGACCTGCTAATTTTCATGGCAATAAGGAGTGTAAAACATTGAACACTGACTCCAATCATCTTAGTATTACCGTGAATAGATCTGACAGTAGTGGAAGCCAAACAGAGAACAAGGACAGTGCCAACAGCTCACCAGCATCAAACCACTTTAAAACTTACTGGATTTTTTTGTGCTTGGCATTTAGGAGACATGATGTTGGGGTAACCTGACTGAAAAACACAAATCTTACAAAATCTTGCATACTGTATTTTTGTGAGGAAAGAGTCTAAAAAAAAAAAAATGCTGTGATCACACTAACAGAGGTGGGAATGCTTCTTGTGTCTTCGGTGATATTGTTCAGCCTCCATAACACAAAATAATTACATGTTAGTACAGTAGGAGACAGCCAGCTCCACTTTAATGAAACATAGTGACAATAAATACACACCTCTCTTGATTTGTGACTTGAGAGAGAAAACAACATGCTGGGACAAGGTTAAGTGGTGACTTCCTGTACAGACTTAGAAACACTCAGAATATTTGGGATTCTTAAAACAGAAAGTGTCATGCCTTCCAGATAAACTTATGTATGGTGAGGTGCAGTGAGTCTATACAAATGTGTCAGAATTGATTTACAGAAATTGTCTCAAAAAGTGACCAACAACTTCCTATACAGTGAGTTCTGCTATAAAGCGTGTTTTGACAACGCGAATTGGCTCTAACGCGATTGATGAATAGAAAAACAATATTTGTAAAACGCGAATGCGTTTGCTCTAACCCGATTCCACTCGAACGGTTGTTATGGCTTGGAGCGGGGTTATGCAGTGTTTACAGTTCACGTTCGACATCACACGTTCAATTGAGTTATGTGTTTTGTTTGTAAAGAATTGCAGAAATAATTTATGTAATATATATGTATACAGTATACCTGTACAGTATATATAAATTGTAAAATTTTAAATAAGAGAGAAAAACAAAATACATAGCGTTTTAGACCCGTGCGCTCTGTTTACTCCACACGTTCAGTTTGAAACACGTGTGAAGTTTTTAAGCGTCCTCAGTGAATTCTGAGTACTGTTTCTCCAATTTTGTGACTATGGAAAAGAAGAATATCTCTGGGAAGCGTTCTGGTGATCGCATTTCCGGTGGTGATCGTAAAAGAAAGGCTATAACACTTGAAGAAAATCTTGATGTTGTCAATTGTTTTGAAAATAAGGAAAGAACATGTGATATTGTGCGGGCAACGGGAATAAAGGAGTCTACTTTACGCACCATTAGAGACAATGCAGCAAAGATTAAAGCAAGCTGTATTGCTGGAAAAACCTTGAGTGCTAGCAAAAGTGTGAGATCACGGCCAAAGGAACTTGAGGAGATGGAATGGCTTCTAAATGTTTGGATAGAAGATCAAACGAAAAAGCGATCTGGAACCAGCTTCCTCACCATTAAAGAGAAAGCCTTATCAATATATGAGGACCTAAAGAAAAACTGCACCTGATGATGATGATGACGATGATGATGATGATAACTGTCAACTCCTGTCTTCATGACACCTCAACATCAACCTTCTCCCCCATCAAGTTATATTCATATTTTTTCAAGGTAAAGTGTAACATTTACTGTATGATTTCATTATTAGATATGAATGTAACATTTATTTAGACTGTGCTATCCTTTGTGTTAGGCTAACTACGAAATTTTATTCGATTTCGAGTAATCTGCACCTAACCTTATTTTCTCCATAAGCCCTGTTATTTCTATTACGTGAATTTCTATAACACGATGTTTTACAAGAACACAACTATAAGTTATAGCAGAACTGACTGTACTGGAAGAATTAAGGTTATATACAGTATATATATCTGCAGGAACAAAGAGAGAGGGTGCAAAAATGAATAGGCAAATCATATTAAAACAAATAATTGATCTGTATGGGAAAATCCTTTACAAAATCATTTAGCAGCATAAAATCATGTGGTAATATTGTCTACAAAAACATATGAACACAATCTGTAACAGTACAGTTATGTATGTATGTATGTATAAATATGGAATAGTTTGTGTGTCAGTGACCTTGTGTTTTAGCTAAGGTATTATACAGTAAATTACACTCCCTCTGTCACTGGTAGGGATGTGTCAATGATTTATTTGTTATTTAATTTACTGGAGAGTTGGATTCGTGTAATGACATCCACTTCCTTAAATTAAATGATAAGGAAATATATTGTATCCTTCATGCATACCTCTGAGGTACAGTACAGTGCTCTAGGTCCTTGTTCTAGTAATTTATCTACAGCATTACTATTATTTTTCTTCACATGACTAGTAACATTGTAATTCACAAAAATTGCCTTTCAAGCAAATTTCACATCACTTACATCACGATAATAATCAAGTCTTTCAGGAAATTGGTCAACTCACTGGTAACACTATAGTCAACAGGGAATCATCCCTGCAATTGATTTTGAGAAATTCACAACACTAATGTCAGCAAAAACTGCTATGAAAAATTATTTCACTTAACTGGCAAGACTGTAGTCTGCAGACCACCACTGAAGCTAATGTCACATCACTGGCAGCACTGTGAGTCGCCCAGAACACAGTCCCAGGTAACTGTTGCTCTTAGGGTAAATATTTCTCTTCTTGGAAGGAGTGAGAACAGCTCCTGGGATGACTAGAAGTCCATGGAGCTTCAACTAGGTGCTAGATGGGATGAGAAGACTAGCACCAGGAAGCTAAGAAAATAGGCAAGGGCATGTGGGCCATGTGAGTGGCCATGGCTCCTGTGGTAGGAGAGGATAGGACAGTTGGGGCACTGGTATGACCCACACACTTGACAGATGTCCAGTGATACAGATGACATGTCCAGCAGCTCCACCTCGTACAACTCTGTTGGGTAAATGCTTTAGTAAATAATCGAAAAAATAAGAAAACTAAAGATAAATTTGACAAAAGGTAAATTATTAAAATATTAGCTGACACATACTGTACTGTACAGTATTTCAATAAATAAAATAAACACTTTATGACAGTTTAGTTTGATATGGCTTATCTTATCCTTTGTTATTACAGTGCAGTATATGAACACTCTGATTGTTTTGTTTACGATAAAAGTTCATTGAACTTAGTCAGGCTACCTGGGTAGGATATATATGGACTTTTATGGTTGTTTATCTCACTGTGGAAGGACTCCAGGGACATGCCTCAGTGGGACAATTTTTCTAAATCACTCTGGATGTTTTGGGTTCATTAAGGTGTATATATATATATATATATATATATATATATATATATATATATATATATATATATCATCAAAAGGGAAACAGTATTACCCGCTTTGGCGTTTCACTTGCGATTTCTCATTTACGCGGTGCCTCGCCAGAACCGAACTTTCACTTTCCGCGGTGCATCTACCCATATACGCTGTCTGGCTCGACGCTTTTAGAGTTAGCACAAGGTCGCCCAGTCATCAAAACATTAACGAAGTTCTTCACTCGCCACCCACCACAGCCGGTCCAAGTCAGTGATAGTGATAATGATAAGAGGATATGGACTTATATGGACTTTGAGGGTTTGACAAAGAGGCCCTGCAAGCCTCTGTGGTAGATAGTGATACAATTGATACAAGTGATACAGGTGAGGGCCAATAATCTGCCTCTGCCTCAGAACCAAACCCCATCCCTGTGCCCAGCCATCTTTTCTACTAATGTAAGTGTCAAAAACCTAATATTATTGATATTTCTCTTAATTATTAATTGTGTGTGCATACCATCATAAAATTAAGAAGTTATTACTACAATGTAGGTATTGTGTCTGAAAAAGTGGAGTTTGGGGGTCGGCCCGGTCTCTATTTCAATTAATCCCATATGTTATGTTGTTCACTTTACGCGTTTCTCACTTTACACGGGCCGCCGTGGGTTGAATTGACCGCAGAAGTGAGGGTTCACTGTATATATATTAGTGGAAGTTTCTGCCTTAAAAGACACATCAACTTTGACCCTATAAAGTGTTATGGGGAAAATTCAGCTTCTCAGTCATTTATGAGATGTTAAGCTCACTTTACTTTACTTCCCTTTTATCCTCTTCACCACTGATCGGCTCGTTAGCCGCTTCGATCGGTCACGTCTGTTACTTTTCTTTTCTTTATCCTCTTCACCAATTGATCAGTCTATGACTGTTTAGGTGTCATTAATACCGGGAAAGGTTTGATTTTAGTTAGTCTGTATCAGTTGGAAAAACATAGATATTGAAATTACTTCAGTAACATGGAAGGTAATTTCAGCAGTGTCTGGTAAAAACTTTCAACTTAACTAAAGAAGTCAAAAAGCCAAAGAGAGTGCTGTAATATTAGCATGATTAGCAGAGGAAAAATTTAAGCAAAATTAGATGATGGTTGAGGGACCTGAAGTTAGAACAGTGAGGACGGGGATGAGCAGAAGCAATGATGGACTTTTAGAAAGAAGGATCAGGGATGAAATGTAAAGAATTAAGTAGGAATTAGAGGTGCTATCCAGAGAAACTTACTTCTCCAAGGAACATTAAATAAAAGATGAGATGACAGAATATGAAAAATGAGTGATTTTATCTTGATGTTAATACCATGTATGAGATATCCTAAGGCAGTAAGAATGGGATAAGAAAGAGTCTAGAGGATTTGGTTGGGTGGCAGAGTGGAATTATTTCTTCCATTACTAATGACTGACATCATGAAGCTGAGCTGCACAAGAGGATAAGAAAGGTAACACAGACAGCCCTCTGGACAAGATGAGCCCTGCTAAGAGTATTTTAGTGGGGAGTCTTCCAGATCACTTGTTGAATGTCTTATAGACCTTAATAAAAGATCTCAGCCAAATTTGTGTAGAGTAAAAAGAATCTAGAAGTTGGATAAAATCAAAGGCTTCGGGATGCACCGCCTATCACAGTAAATTTCACTACACAGTACAGTACCGTCAATCGCTCAGAGATGTAATAATGTGACATGTTAAACTGTGATTTATGTATCGACAAAAATCGTATTATATTTTCAGTGGGTAAATATTTGGCACTTGAGTGGGCAACACGACATGTTTTGATCAATATTTCCATTATGTACAGTAACCCCAAAACAAAGGCAATACTGTACTCTTGTAGTTACTCACCTGGGGAGTAATACTCATACACTCTCACTGGTAACACCTTGGTGAGGTTGGGAGGAACCATCGCTCCACTGAGAACTCCACACAAGTGTCAGTCCCAACAAGCTGAAAACCAAGAATAAAGTTCCAGCATAAAGAGAATCCTTCAAATTTGTAAATACCTGTAATGAAATAAGTTGAATATAAAACACACATGTCAGGTAATACTTGACACTGCCCCCGGCCTCCAGATAATCTATTTCTTTGGTTGTTTTCTGTCTTGCTTTCTTGTCTGGGTGATATCTCAGACACTTTCTGAGCTAGGCAGCTGAAATTTAGAAATAATACTGACCAAGTGATTTTGGCAACAAATACTTCAGACAATCATCTGATATTTTGGACTACCTGGTACATCATATATGTTCAGTAAAAGGTTCAGTATTAGGTTTGTCTGAAAAAGGCTTTATAGCAGCCTTTCATCGACTAGTCTGATACAGCGAGATTCCGCTGTTTTATCCTCATGGTAATGTGCCGTGTTTTCCAATTTTATGAAATGGGTTAAAGAGTTAAAATTACTCTACTTCAAAACAAATCATTACAAATACATGGAGTAATTCTTTATTTACACAATATTGCTTACTCACCTTCTCAAAAAAGAATGTGATTTTTCGTTGCTGGAAGTCCACCCTTCGGAGGTTTGGCACGGTCTGGGCGGCAACGTACTCCTGCAGCACTTCCGTGGATGCTCCATATCCCGTCGGCACCGTTACCTCCAGCACGGAAATTCCAGACGTGTCACTCGCTTCCTTAAACATCCAGCGCACACACGTTATAAATGTTAATGCCGAGCCGTTATGTCCGTGCCAATTGGCTCTTGTCCGCAGGTGGAAGGCCGGTGTGGGTGGAGAGGCCAAGTGGTGTGGCTCAGCAACGTGGTACTTGGAGGTGAGCTGCAGTACGGCCGCGCCTCGACCCTTACCCTGCACCCTCATGCTGCCCCACTTGCCATTCACCTGACGAGAAAAATTCCTTAATCCTCATACGACAACAGTACAGTACAGTATTTGAAACACATGACAAGCAATGATATTAACCCCTTCACTAATGGGACATCACTTTAACTATTTTATTTGGCTAATGCCAGAGGATTTTATTCAGCTAAGAGGGGATCCCACACACAAGGGATTAAATAAACTACAAATTAATAACAATAGTTAATGTGAACACCAAAAACAAAATAAAATGAAACATTGGCATTGTGAAGTGAAGGAACAAAAAGTAAAGACACTAATGTAGGAGATACAGCTGATGGAGCCTTTCTGGAGGATGTATGTACAGTGGTCCCTCGGTTAACCAACACAATTCGTTCCAGAAGGTCGTTCGTTAACCGAAAATTTTGTTAACACAAACCATTGTTTCAATGGGATATTAGATTGGTTCCAGCTCACATTAAAGCCAGAATATAATTTACATTGCTGGAATTCTTATAAGATAGTGATTAATTTGAATATAAACAAGCTAAAATTTGCATTACACATACAAATTTTAGATCTAATTTAAGAATTTTATTAGGGAGCAAAAATTTTATCTTTGTGCAAAATATATGAAGTTTATATTCAAAATATTCCCTGTCTTGCAAGGATTTCAGCAATCCAAATTATATTATCCTTTAGTCTGAGGTATTATTTATTTTTAAACCTGTAAACCTAGTCTTTTTACCCAAACATTTCTCAGAAGGATGGGGTGGGGGTAGGAGGGAGGAGTGACAGTGACATGTTTGACAGTTGGCGCCTGTGGTGTGAAGTATTTAATTGTTAGTTTATTTTTTTCTTAGATTGAGTTTTTGTTTTTTGCTTATAAAATTCAATAGAAGTGACTGGGATGAATTTAATTTGCATTGCTGCAATTCTTATAAGATAATGATTAGTTTGAATGTAAGCATAGAAGAGATCACTGAATTGGCTGAGTACCTCCTCAGCTTATCAGCTGATGTTCAAAACAAAATGTGATTTTCGTAAGGATTTCGTTAACCGAATTGAAGATTCTTATGGAAGGTAGTTCGTTAACAAAATTTCGTTAACCGAGGTGTTCGTTAACCGAGGGACCACTGTATTAAGGTTTGTGTATGATAAGAGGAGGAGGGGGTAGATAAGGCAGTTCTGTGATGGAACCATAAAGTAAAGGAGAGAGTCAGGAAAGATGGTACAGGTAGAGTCAACTCCCACAAGAGAATGATCCACTGGACAAACAACCACTGAGACCACAGCTGTAACTCTCAATGAATCTCCTTCAAGGATTCTAATACAGTTGTAAGTCAAGGAAAAATCTAATATTTACTAAATTAAACACTAAACTATCCATGTTTTTATTTTTTTATAAATAGAACTCTGTTTGGAATGCATTGGAAATACATCACCGTATAAAGTTTCAAGTAAAAAGCAAGATTTTTTTTCAAATAATCTTATGTATCCATAAATATGATTTATTGATGAATATCTGTACGAAATAAATTGAAAGAAAATACTACAACACTGCATTTTTAATGTTATGCTTACGCCATAATGGTATTCTCATAATTTTCAGAGGTCAATTTGGTGCCCTCAGCGTCTTTATTCTTGAGTTATCCATCAAGCAGATTTTTTTCATTTCTATTGTGTACAGTAATAAAGGACCTCTCTATGTAATGTAATTCTTTAAGATTATAACATATTATGCCTGGTATACTGTATACTGACCTGGTGTGACTGTAGGTGAAGAAAATTATCTGGGGTGATGTAGAAAGTCCTTGCTTGAGTGTGGTCATGTAAAGGCTCTACTGTCACTGTCAGCTGGGTGTCTCGAGCCCTGCCCTCCCGGCCAGAGAACTCATACAGGGCCTCCCATGCTGCCAGGGTGTCCTGTGATAGGGAATAAATATTACTATGCAGTGCTAGTAAGTCTCTTATAGGTTTTACAGTACAAGTAAAACAATGCATAATAAATTAAACATAAAAAAATGATATTGTGCAGCCTAGTAAGGAAATTTATACTGTTGTCAAATGAAAGTAGCTAGTACACCACTGATATACCTTAGTTATGTGTGCACAGTGCTAGTGGATATAAAAAATACAAGTGTAAGGTAAAGGCAGTTGTGTCCCTGTATGAAGTTATAGAAGATCTGTACAGTATAATATACAAAAATCAAATTTTAATCTCATATTATGAACTTTACCTGTGTTGACATCCAGCCACCATCATGACAGCGCTGAGACTGCAACCATCTCACAATACTTGGGGTCATGATCTCCCCCCGAATGGAATAAAGCCTGAGAGCGTAAGCAGTCGCCGCTACATTGCCTGAATCGTGGGCGTGAGAGCGGCGAGGCTGCAAGTGTGGACGCTGGGACTCAACGCGGTAGGAAGGCAGAGGTACCAAGTCCTCCCCCCAGTAAACATACTTGACTGTAAGAAAGGTTGACACACCAAGCTTAAAATATGATAATTGAGCATTTGGAAAACTCAGAGCATTGTATAGTATTGTATTATAAACACAAGTGCAGACAGACTTGAAGAATTTATAGACAGTAGCACACAGTCCTCCGGTATCAGATAGACCTCAGACACTCAACAACTTACCCTCCTGACGAGCATTTCGGGTGACGAACTCGGAAGGTCAGCGAAGGTCGACTCCGAGAGGTGAAGTGCCAAGGCCACCAGGGACACCTCCAGGGGACGTGAGGCCTGGCCAACCAAGGAGAGATTCTCCTCCAGCCAGCGAGCTCCCCGGGTGATGGCTGCCAGAACTTGTTCATCTAAAGGCTGTGGACATCACCAGAAATATTTACCAGATATTAATCATTCACAACAGCAGTAATAAAAAATCACAACTTTATGTTACCACTGCAATAAAACTTAAAATTCTAATCACAATAAACTCCCTGTTATCTGCTCTCTATATATCACAAACCATCAAACAATTTCTATTATAATTATACTGTACATCTGCATATATTTTTTTTTTGCTTACAATAAGAAATTCTCATCTGGCTGAGGTGATGTGGAACTTTATATTTGTACTTTTATATTTTACAATACAGTGTAGGTACTGTACATTATTATGATGATATTGAGAGAAGAGGGATGGTATGACGGTGAGGAGGCTGGACATGGTGGTGGCACTTGGCAATTTCCCTCTGCCTCTCAGCCAGTTTGGAAAGTGTTTGATGTGAAGCAATACTTTTCCTTATCCTTAATATATAATTGCTATTTATACAGTATATTTTACATCATTATACTGTATATTTATATTGTATATACAGTCCATCCTGTACTTATAGTAGTTTGCAGTACAGGTATTAACATATACAGATGAAACTGTGTATGGAATTTATTTCCCCAGCACAGCATGTACAGTACCTGCTACTAGATCAAAAAACCCAGGTGAAGGTCATAACAAAGAACAGACTGACCACTTGAATGGCCAGTACAGTAAGCTGAAAAGTGGTGGGTAAAATATAAAGGACTTTCTCTGCTATACAGTACTATCACATCAACTTTCTACCATTGTCTTACGGAATCCAATACATGTGTCCTACCCAACCACTAAATGCCCTACAGAACATTTTCACTTACCGAGGGCAGACCTCTAAGTGCAAGGAGGCTGAGCATGGTGTGGGCAGTGGAGGAGAGGTTGAGGTCGTGTGTGGTCTCTCCAGTAAGAGAGTATGGAGATGGTACCAGTTTTCTGTCCCCCACCTCACCACTGGGCTCCCACCAGGCCCCATGGGATGCCTGCTGTGCCAACAAAAACCTGACCAAAATACAGTACACATCTTTAATGGATGACGGAGAGAGAGAGAGTTATTACTGTACTGGTAAATGTACAAACTGGATATTCTGTATATGTATACAAGAACTGTTTTGTAAATCCTCCCAATTCATACGAAAGATACTTTCAAACTGCATTCTGCCAATCCACAATGCACTGAACTTTATAGTATTAAATTACCTAACATTTGTAAAACCTCCACCTCTTCAGTATATCATCAAATATATTAGAAAATACACAAGACAATCTGTAAAGTAGTTTATCTTATTTTTTCATGGGAAAGAATAACAATATGTGGAAATTAATGCAGGCTTCAAGAAGGGCAGAGCAGTGAAGGGTGGAGAGCAGAGCAGGAGTGAGAGGTGGTGGAAGAGGAGGGTAATGAGGGATGGTGGAGAGTGACTTTCTTTCCAGGAAAGTTTAATTAGCACATACAGTGAAAATGGTAAATATTTTTTAGGAGTTTAAAGTTAATTTAAGTGTAATATTTTGGGACCCTGCAACTGAACCCCACAGATGTTACTGATATAAAATATCTACAAGACACTGAGATCTGTAAAGCAATATGACCATGATGTCTGATTTGAAACTACAGTACTGCATAATATCTAAAGTTTTATTTTACAAAACAAGCAGAGAAGATTGTCACTTATCAACAGGTAAAAACAAAGACTATATATTCACTCACTTTAGAGCCTTGTCCGTCACCTGAGGGTCAACATATAACATGTTAGGCCAGTTGACAGACACCTCATTAAGAGCTCGAATCACCAGCGATGTCACCCACACAGAACTTGTCTGGCTGGTTCTGAGGGGAAAAGTGCATATGGTCAAAGTCATGAACACTCTGAGTAATGTAATTAGAATGAAACTGTTGCACCAAAACCAAGAGGGAAACAAATGGGGGGACCTAAGAGAAGAGTACTGGGTAATGTTAATACAAATCAATAGAAAAAGGTCCCAAATTAAAGTTAGCCTCAGGCCCCAAGCACAGCTAATTTGTCCTTTGATTACCAAGCACTGTATATACTGTACTGTATAATCAATTTACAAACCCAAAACCAAGTCACTACACGTGATAGAGAAAGTTTGTTGGAATTGAAATATGCTCAGAATTTTCCCAAAAATTTCTCTCCCAGGTTTAGGGAACAATTTTTCCGGTTGAAAAATAGGCACATTTTCTAGAAATTTCTGGAAACTTATTTTTTTGCATTTTGGAGTAAATCAAGGATGATAATGCACAATTTCTGAAAAGTCTGAGAAACTTATTACCTGAAAAATCTGGAAAAGGGTATTATTTTTGTTCAACTCAGAATCCGACGCACAACAATATATCTACCAGGTATGTTAATTCCAGCTAACTCGCCAGGCCAACATACAGGCAATTAATATCTAATAATTACTTAATAAGTAATATTAGGAGGACATGTCGCTACCTGGCATTTAATTGCATCTCAAAACCCCTCCTTCACCCTCCCACCATAATGATCACGACCTTCATCTTCTTGCCTGGCGATTCAGCTGTAAATACACAAAGAAAAGCTCCATGAATTTGTGTTGTAATTAAAGAAATCTAATGAGGATTTTATATACGGTATTTAAACTATACTTATTAGCAAGATGATGAAGTAGAGTGACTTTTATTTTGTTATGTCTCCTCAATTATTGTATTTGGGACAATTTCTTATACGATCTCTGGTCAGCATCATGGAGACCACAACCGTCTTCTTTGTGAAGTCGCAGATCATTCATGACTATCCCTTGCCTTTAAGTCACTCAGTGAATGTCATTGCGCCTCGGGCTCGTCTTCACTGAAAGAAAATATGTGGATATATCTATTTATATATACATATATATATGTATACTTTTATGGTTTTCTTTTGTCCCAATTATTCACGTGCTAGTATGAATGCCATGACTGTCTCTCTTCCTACTCTCATGTTCGTTTTCCAAAAACCTTTGGCTTCCCCTCGGTTTTTAATTGCTATCATGAAGGCCAGAGTTGAGTTTTCTCTTCATAACTTTATTATATTGATGTCCTCAGTAGTGGGTTCAGCTCCAGGAATAATCTTTTAGAAATGTCTTCTTTTAGATTGGAACCTTGAGTTCAATCTATCTTGTTCCCACCTGTGAAAATATTGAAGTGGTTCACAAACTCAGATCCTTCAGAGGCAAAGTCCTCTTAATTGCACCATATTGGATCCCTACAACCTTGGTGCCTGGATCTGCTGGACTGGTGCCCGATTCCCAATTGCATCAGTGTCCAGACCAGGTACTACATTCTCAGTTCGAGATATTCTTGGCACTTCACGCTTGGGTTTAAAAAAAAGTTTAAATAGGTTGTTGGGTAATTCCAATACTAACCAAGTATTAGCAGGTCATAGACCCCAAACTTCAATTCAATATGAGAAAGCGGAATCTTTTTCAACAATTTATCAAGTTAACAACTCCAGAATCATTGTCGGAAACAGTTGTGTTAGAATTTTTAATTTCTGTTCAGAGTTAAAAGCCTTGAGATCGACAATTGCATCTTATAAATCAGCATTGGTTGACCTTCTGGCTGGGGTTTTAATATTACTTTGAGCAAGGTTATCAAATACTAAGATCGTCCTTTTTCATTCAGAGACCTCCTGCCTCCAAGACAGTCCCACCTTGATCTCTGGGAAAAATTACTAATTTCTTAGGGGCCAAATTACAATATAAATCTGAACGGGACAGATTACTCCAGAAAGCAGCCTTCCTTCTAGCAATAGCAACAGGTATGAGAATCAGTGAACTGATTTCAATTTTCAATAATCCATCATTATTGGTATTTTTGAGGAGGATGTTACCCTTTTTCCCACGGAATCCTAGGAAAAATAGAAGGGAAGATTTTCAAGCTCAACCTATTGGGATAAAACGCCTAATGGATGAGACAATGGTTCCTCATATATCCCAGTTAAAATCTTAGGAATGGTTAACAGATTTCCTAATCGAGGCCCTATGTTTTCTCATCAAAGGATGGTAAAAATTATCTTCTAGTCAAATGACAAAATCCTTATCTCAATTAGTGAATCAAGCAGACCCTGGCAAGAAATTTTTGGCACATGACACTAGGAAATATGCAGGGTCTGTGGCCTTTCTGCATATGAGTCTCAGTCAGATCGGAAATGGGCTTTTGAGATCTTTAAAAAACTTTCAAAGACAGCTATATTCATCTATCTCTGAAAGATGCTTCCAAATGTGGTGGTGCTAGGTTACCCTCCCCACCTAGTCAATCTCCACAACCAGGACCTTCTTCTCATCAGAATAAAGTGAGAATCCTTTTAGAGTAAATTAACATTTTACCTTCGGTAAATGTTCCTACATACATAGGAAATATTCTAAACGGTATATAACATAATCTGACCCTAAGTCAGGCCCTGCCTTATGCAAAGTCACCTCCTGCTCGGGTATTCTTAACCATGCGCTGCATTCGAGTTGAACAAAAGACCGTTTTTCTAAAAACAGTTTTGTGATATAGCTCAGAATCATATAATAACCCACCCATCTCCACCCCGAGAGTTGACTTTTGTTTACTGCTCCTCCTGAGGCAGAGATGAAGGTTTGATCGTATAGTGGGAGGGTGAAGGAGGGAGTTTTGAGAATTGCAATTAAATGCCAGGTAGCGACATGTCCTCCTATCATACTTATTAAGTAATTATTAGATGTTTTAATTGCCTGTATGTTAGCCTGGCAAGTTAGCAAAATTAACATACTTAGGTAACATTGCTGTAAGTCGCATTCTGAGCTATTTCACAAAAACTGGTTTTTAGAGAAAAAAAGTCTTTTTCCAGGTTTGAGAGAGTTGTCTCATTACCTGGAAATTTCTCATTCCTGAAGTGCTCTTCACAAATTGTACTGGCTAATGGGATATACAAATTATGAGAGCTTGGTAGGCACAACCATCATTTACACACCTAGACCTAACTTACAAGTTAAATAACACTGTAAAGACTAGATCAAACTCTTATCACAAGCCTCATACTTGACCGTGTCAAGGAGGAATATAATTTGTGGTTGACCTGAAAGGCAAGTTACAACAAGACTGACCGGTAATATTTAAATCCACCGTCTCGTTTCTGGTAAACAAGGAGTGTTTGGTACATTAAAGCGAGGCGCTGAAACACTTCCCGTTCATTGAGTTCTGGTTCCTGAGCCATCTCTTTCCACTGACGCATCTGTAACACTGTCAGTAGGAAGCTGAACTACAGGCTCACATCCAGCCTGGAAAAGGAGAAAAGTCATTTATCAGAGACAAAAAACTATACTCACAATACTGTATTACAGTATATGACTATTAAAACTCTTTCTGAATACAAACTGGTATCCTTAAATTTAGCAAAGTTAGTGATGAATAAAAAACTGCTGTACAAAATTCTGTTTCATGGCTGAAGAGGTGAATGAGAGGCCTACAAGAGACAGTTCACTACACAGTGCCCTTGGCCAGAAACTCCTTGGGCCAGGAAGTATATAATGCTCAGTAGTATGTGCACTATTCACATGAATTATGTTTTGCTGTCGATATAAATTTTATATGGAGCCTTTCTCACCTATTTGAACCAAGCACTTATCCAAAACAAACTGTTTACTCCCATCAGCTGTGTACCTACTCACTATATTGTATTTACTCTTAACTGCTTAAAATTTCTCCTGTATAACCAGTCAATCCTTCTCTTCTCATTCCCACTTACAGCAATGTACTCTCAAGCACGACTTATTTACCATAGGGAGTCCAAGGAGATCTTGCGTTGTGGCAGGAGCATTAGGTAAGACTGCCCCCACTGTGTCACCAAAGACTGACACATGGGCATCATCAGAGCCTGGTACGAGACCCTCAGACATGTTCACATCCAGGAAGGTGAAGAAGTAGGCCCGGTTACTGAGGTCCAGGAGTAGCGATGTATGGTGCTCCTGAACAGCTCCCAGGGGCTGACGGGGACAAGCAAAATCCCTCAACAAGATATAAACAGTGCTATTCACCTCTAAAAAAGGATGGCAGATTTAATTGAAACTTACTACAGCCAGGAAAACAGATAAACATTACTATATCAAATTAATACTGACAGACACACACCTCAACAAAAATAGTAACTTCCTTTTGAATTTTCTTGCCAGGTAATGAAGCCTGAACAATGACAGTAATCTCCCCCAGTTGGATGGGCACAATGGGTAGGTACAACGTGTGGGTCTCTCCCCCATTCACCAACACAGCGTGCTCATGCTCTCCGCCCACCATCCTCCGCTCGATGTGGCCATCAGAGGGCTGAAAGGAGGTACAATAATTACTAAAAGGACTGACAGGAAGGAGTTATTATCACATTAAAAGAAGATAAGGAGGAAGTTTTCAGCACATCTCAGAGCTGCAAGGATAAAATTATCACATCACTGGGAGGCTGCAGTCAGAGCTCAACAAACTGGGGTTCAACAGAACAATTACAAACTCGATATTGTCCCCAGGAAAAACAGTGAAATTAACTAAAAAAAATCACTGCAATCACTGAACAATACATACATCAATCACTACACAGATTGTACCATTATTCATTACATTAAGCACATCAATCACTACAAAAACCCATAAACTGTTACAAACACACACTAACAATCACTAAACTAAACACAAGGCATAATTACAAGCACACTATAGGATACAGGTTGGACCCCGCTAATCCGGGACCCGATAGTCCGGCAACCGATGGTTAGGACGCATATAGTGAATACAGTACTTAATCTAATGGGGAAAATTTGGACATGTACCACGACTACTAAGAGTCAACAGTAATGCTATAAAAGTTGTGGAAAAATCATTACAATCATCACAACCTGCACTCAGATATACTACCTGTAGTTACAGTATAGCATGCCCTTCAAATTCGTGGGGGTTAGGTTCTCATAATGGCATGAATCGCCAAATCCTTGAATAACATTTGCGGACCAGAGGAGGGGGGTACATTTTACCTGTGTACAAAAATGTATATTTCTTAATGTGTTTCTTTAATTATTTATTTTACCTGTATATTGAATACAGTATTTGCCGGCATATAGGCACCACCGCATAAGACGCACCCCTATTTTACAAGGATATTTTGTGGATTTTTATTTATTTTTAATAAGTTTCATCAGACAATTATTGAAAGGGATTTTAAGTGGTTTTTGTGAGAAACAAATGAGTTTGTTCATGTAAATTCAATACTGTGTATACTGGAATCAATTAGTTAATCATATTACCATTAAAATAAAGCAATAATAATGAGATGCATTCCCAAGTGAAACCTTTTCATATCTTTTGTGTGGCTTTACCCTCTTTTCCCCTAAGACAATACAATTAATGAAAATTGCAAACTACTAATATATTCTTTAAATAATGTTTCTGAATGCACCTTATACAGTGAACCCTCACTTTCTGCGGTTAATTCAACCCCACGACGGCCTGCGTAAAAATGAAAGACGTAAAAGAACAACATATATGGGATTAATTGAAATAGAGACCGGGCCGACCCAAAACTCCACTTTTTCAGACACAATCTTACACGTTGTAGTAAAATAACTTCTTAATTTTATGATGGTATGCACACACAATTAATAATTGAAATATCAATAATAGGTTTTTAACATACATAAGTAGAAAAGATGGCTGGGCACAGGGGATGGGGGTTGGTTCGAGGCAAAAGGCAGATTATTGGCCTCTCACCTGTATCCACTTGTATCAACTGTATCACTATCACCACAGAGGCTTGCAGGGCCTCCTTGTTCAAACCCTCAAAGTCCATATAAGTCCATATCCTCACTGTCACGACTTGGGCGTGTGGTGGGTGAACTTGGTAATGTTTTATTGACTGGGCGACCTTGTGCGCCCTGCTCTGCCAGCTCTCCCACGTAAAGGTACACACACCGGCGGAAAGTGAGCATTCGGTTTTAACGGGTGCAGCGTGGCGTGGAAGCAGCGTAAAGTGGGACGCGTAAGAGAGGTTGACTGTACAATATAAATTAATAATAATATGGTCACACAAGAGATGGGCGCCATTGTTTTCGTTTGTGTTTACAGCCGGGAGTCCGGGACGATGGTTCTACACCAGAAAATGAAGAAAATAAGGCCCTGGTTATAGCTGTAGTAAAATTAATGCAAAAAAAAAAATAATATACAGGTGTTCCTCTACTTAGAAGTTCAACTTACAAACTCCCAGAGATACAAACATCATCACTGAGGGGGGTAACCTGCCAGAACAGATGTTTAATGTGGATGAGACTGGATTATTTTGAAGAAAATTCCAGATAGAACAAACATTACCCAAGAGGAGAAGAGTGAGCCAGGTTTTATGCTGAATTAAAGGGTATAGCTAAACTAAATATCCATAATCTTTTATATTTTTACAATAAGTTTGTTATCTACAAGGTAAATTGGACTTACAAACAATTGGACTTACAAACAACTCAGGAACGTAACTAGTTCCTAAGTAGAGAGCACCTGTATCAGTGCGGATTTAGACCTGTGGAGGGCCATGGGCAGCCTCTTTAGGAGAGCCCCCTCATTATCAACTAACCAGAAGGAGGGGTGGCCAGTGAAGCGAACCTAAACATCTGGGAGTTCGAGGCGCTGTAAGCCCAGGAGACCCAAATTGAGCACTTCTTTTGAGATTTGTGAAGCCATATGCAGTTATATTGAGGAAATTAGAACAATGAAAATTTTTAATTAACTGTATATTACTGTATATTTATTGATAAGTGTATAAATTCCCAACACACACACACACACAAAAAGTGAGACATGACTGGAGTCATTCATGTGGTTTCAAGTCGACCAGCCTGACATAGCTACTACATATGTCAAAAATTTTCAGAACTCACGAAAAGATATATTATTAGTTATTACAGAGATGATTCTTTGCATTATTAATCAGATAAACCTCTACTCAAATAATGGTTCTGTCCAAGAATGCATGTATAGGCTTCTTTAAGTCCAAGGTCAGATAGATTCAGAATAAGTATTAACTCAACTATAAACAAAATTGAAGTTTTGCATCCAATAGTAAAACAAATAAACAATTTAATGAATTTAATAAAATTACAACAAAAGTATGAACATGTTGAAAAAACAAGAATCCAAATGAATAAACAAATAAATAAAATATTGTAATATGTGGAGGCCCCAGGGCAGCTGCCCACTTTGCCCACTCCTAAATCCGGTCCTGACCTGTATATGTTTTAAGTAACGTTATTTAATGTTAATAAATGAACCAATAGAAGTAGGTAACCACTAATGGCAAAGAAAAAAAGAGATGGATTGGGAGGCCAACATATATGTGTGCATTTAAGGTTACCGTGTCATTTATCTTTTTAAGAATATGTACAAAAGATTCATTATTGTTTATTACTGAATATGTATTTGATTGAATTAATGTTTATATATGTGAAATGAGCAATGCAATTCATCAATAATACATAGAATATTAAAACACAAACCAGGAGACAAGACGGCATTGTTTTCACAAGTGACGATGGTTCTACATAAGAAACTAAAGAAAATAAGAACCCTGGTTGTAGCTGTAGTGAACTATATTTAAAAAAAAATTAATACAGTGGTCCCTCGGTTCTCGAACCTCGGTTAATGGAATTTTGGTTAACAATTACCTTCCATAAGAATATTCAATTCAGTTAACGAAAAAAATTCGATAAGCAAATTCTTCGATTCCTCTCAACATGTTATAACGCTCCAGCTTATGATAGTCCCCAATACAATGTCGGTTCTTAGGCTTAAATTTGTTCCCATTTGAGTAAATATCAAGAAAGGTTGTACTATTCAATAAGTTTCAAGTTTTATATTAAAATTTTTAGTCATTTTAACAATTATTTAACATAATTGAAGTACAGGAAACTAGTGTTTAGTCGTAGCAACACACTCAACTCCAAACAGGCATCAGTTTGTATCTCTGGTCAGTAAGTAACGTCTTGCTTGTGACTCTCTTGAACATAAACTATTTTACGTTTTACAGTTCAATTATTACGTCATTCTGAAATTTTTACATATTGACAATATATAGTGCAGTGCAGTGTTGATTTAAAGATAATAATCTTGAATTACGAGTGAACAAAAATTTTATGGGTGAAATAGCGGCATGAAGCATGGGGTGATTTCTCTTCCCTTCCTTCTCTTCTCCCTTCTCCTCCACCTTCTAATCATCATTATAACCCAGGAACCTGCAGCTCTTCACAGTCTGCTTGGTTCTTGATTTCTTAAATAACTTGTCATCGGCAAACATTTGTATGGAAGTGTACAAAGTCAGGCATGTCATTTATGAAACAAACAAACAACAGCGGGCCCAATACACTGCCCTGTGGTCCGCTTACGACAGATGCTGATAATGATTTCATGCCATTAATCACCACACTGCTTGCGGTCATAGAAAGTCTCTGATCCTTAGGACACTTCCCAAATCCCATACCCAGTTTAATTTTTAACTTTTTCGTAGAATTAAGCTAATGGCACAATCTAGGTATATATTGTCGATATTGTCACCTTGTCCCAGAATTCTGGTCCAAACATCAATACACCAAGTAATTGTGTTAAGAGTGCCAGCATAAAACCATGTTGGCAATCCTTTACAAGGTTGTTTTGTAGTAGATGTTCCATCGTGGCATCTCTGATAATACTCTCAAGTACTTTACATACTATGCTGGTCAGGCTCACTGGTCAAATGTTGTTTGTGGAGTGTTGATCGGACTCACAAAAGCCATTTTCCAATCACTGGGGACTTTTGCTCATCTAGGTATTACAGAACAGGATCTTCAATCATTATACTGATCACATCAATGGCCCCCCCTTTGAGCCCCATTTACTGCTGTGGCCCCCCTCATAGGCTATGTGATACTTTATCACCTGTACTGTGGCCCCTGAAAGGTTACTTTTCTCTGTGCAGCCCCCAGTAATATGATATGGCCCCCTAGACAGCCATATAGCCCACAGTGAGAAACCCTGAGTTGTTGTACTTACATCAATTTGGTCGAACCTCTGGACATTGACGAATCTGTAGGCTGGGTTGTTGGCCAGCACAATGATAGCGTTAACTGGCAGGTAATGGTGATTCACCGCTGTCACCACACCCCAACCTATAGGGAGACATTACTGAAGCTGTGTGACAAAATACATTCATACATTGAGATATACAGTACGGGTTTGTTATGATAGAAGCATGATGGTTGTCTCTCACTGTTGTGTACTGCTGGTGGCAGAGACAGAGTTAAAAATATGTGTTGTATGGAATAAAAAAAAAATCCTCAAGTTTCAATGTCATTAATGATGATTTGTGATCTAAAATGTACAGTAATCCCATAAGTATGTGTTAATAAATAAAAAATCGTAAAAAGCAAAATTTTTTCTTTATTAATATCAATATACTGTACTACTGTACTGTACATTCATCACCATAGTATTTGGGTAATAGCTACTGTAATTATTTTTCTTTTACATCAACTTTTGTTCAATACCTGTACACATTTTCTAACATATAACTATTAAATTAGCAGGAAAAGCTGAGAGATACAGTATATACAGTGTGGACTCTCACCTGCTCCCACACGCCTACTCTGGTTGGGGCTTCCACAGACAGCCAGAAGCCCACTGAACCTTTCCATTCAATGGGTTGTGGCAGGATGGTCATGCCATACTCTGGGTGGAGGCTGAAGGCAGAGAGTGCCAGGTGGGTGGGGCCAAAAGGAAGAGGCACAGTGAGGGTGGTACTACCAGAGTCCCCAACAATGACCTCTTGCCACACCCACGGGGAGTCATAGTGGCGCTGGAGTCTGTTGGCGCGATACTGGCGATACCAAGCCAGGTCCTCTGCCGCTGCTCCCCGAACACCACCTGTGGGGAGTCATGGGTGTTATCTAATTGTTCCTGATCAAACAGAGTAACAGAAAGATGGTTTTGTAGGCTAACAAGTCTATAGATATACCCTGTGGGACAACCAAGTGACTGAGAACCAACCGCCTTCAGTCTTTTAACCCAACCTAAGGTACTGTACCTCCTCTGGTTCTTGAGATGCTATAATGGAGTTTCCGTTGGGTACTGGCACAAGTAAAAGTGTTAGGTAATGAGAATGTGAACAAGGTGGCCAGGGCTTATGCGTCCCATCCAGCCCCTGTACTTTAACCACTCCCATATCCAGATATGCATCATAAGATTAAAACTGCCACATGTAATAATGCCTTGTACAGTACAGTAAGATCTTGTATTTCGCGAGTAAAATAGACTGGAAAAATTGCGCCAAATTCAAATTCGCCAAATGTAAATACATAAACTAATGGGAAAAATAACAATATAGACTGGCCACTCTACATCAACCATTTATAACCTCCAAATGATACAAATTCTGCCTTTCTTGACCTGATTGTGCTTTCTGGAAACTAGTTTTTAGGCCTTCCTCAAGTAATTTAATCACAAGCTGCTTACTGTATCCTGCATTGAGTACTTAGCAAACTTAATCCTTGGAACAATCTACCAGAGAGTGTTGTGACAGCACCGAGTGTGAGCTCTTTCAAGACAAGACTTGACCAACACTGGAGCGGGTTCAGGTACATTCAGGAGCCGGTGCATGCCCAGTATTTGCCAACATGCGTGACAGAGACGTGACCGATCGTAAGCGGCTTGAGCCGATCAGTGGTGAAGAGGATAAAAGTAAAAGTACTGTATGACATTCAACATGGAACATGGAAGGGTGCAGCTCAGCCTCACAGCTTTTGGTTGGGTATGTTAAATCAAAACTGAAAAATTAAAAAATAAATAACAGTACTATCGATAAATATATATGACCAGTAATGTACTAAGCTTTACTGTCCTCACATCCTTGCTCATCGACGCGGTCCAGACAGTCAAACTTGCCATCGCCATGAGCGGCAGTGTTGTAGCAGCCACCCAGGAGGCACTGACCGCGTCCCATTGTGTCCCCACAGGCCCAGCCCAGCGTAGGCACCACACCGTCCGACAGCACCAGTAAGTCAGCATACCTGTCCATACAAACACATACACAACTTAGGTTTCTGAACAGGTAAAAAAAAGTCTATGACCTTCAGATTATTGTAGATGACCTGTAAGACCACTACCAATAAGTGCCCCTAATGTGCCCTTCAGACACAGGGTACAGTGTAATATAAATAGGACCAGGGCCGGATTCAGGAGTGGGCAAAGTCTTGCCCAGGGGCCTCCACAATCTGGGGGCCTCCACATATTACAATATTTTATTTATTTGTTTATTTATTTGGATTATTTTTAATTTCATTCTTTAAAATTCAAGTTTATCTATTCCATTACGTCAATGTTCAGCAAAGCGTGATAGAAATTAGGCTAGCTACTCCTTGAAATTCATGAATACCTGGTTTTCTCCTAGACCGTATATATTTTTAATGAATGCTATTGTTTGTGTTGCTAATAATATATTTATAATTCACAAACATATACTGATTAAAATGAACTACATGGAATAGAAATTGAGATTAAAAAAACAAATAAAATATTTTTTCATTATCACTTCCATTCTGAAGCCATCAGGCGCTGTGTTTGTTGACAGTCGATTCGGAAGGGTTGGTCATGTAGTATCTGCATCGGTTGTCATGTGTCTGTGATTAAAGGGAGACTTACGTCGCCCATGACTCGTGAACTTCCCCAGTGAACATGAACATGTCTTGCAGATGTAAATGAGAAGAAGGAGTGTCATGGCTTGTTGAGTGAAGTAATTGCGCTCAGTGATGAATGATCTTGTCAGTTGTCATTTCCTAGAACATGTCTTGCAAATGTTTTACTATTGGATCAAAATTTCAATTTTATTTATAGTTGAATTAATACTTATTCTGAATCTATCTGACCTTGGACTTAAAAAGCCTATACATGCATTCTTGGACAGAACCATTATTTGAGTAGAGGTTTATCAGATTAATAATGCAAAGAATCATCTCTCTGTAATAACTAATATATGTTCCTTTCTGTAGAAGTCTCTTGAAAATTTTTGACATGTGCGGTAGTAGCTTTATCAGGGCTGGTCGACTTGAAACCACATGAATGACTCAGTCATGTCTCACTTTTGTGTGAGTGTGTGTGTGTTGGGAATTTGTACACTATCAATAAATATACAGTTAGTTAAAATTTCTCAATGTTCTAATTTCCTCAATATAGCTGCATATGGCTTCAAAATTCTCCAAAGTGTTCAAATTTCAAAATTTTCCGGGCGCTGTAAGCCCCCCGGAACTCCCATATGTTTAGGCTCACTTCACTCGCCACCCACCTCTTGGGTAGTTATATGAGGGGGCCTCCACAAAGAGGCTGCCCATGGGCCTCCACAGGTCTAAATCCGGCACTGAGTAGGACCCATTATCAAAGCTGATAAGGATGGGTAATGAAAAAACTGCTAGAAGTACTGTAGTAGTTGTTTTAACCCAGTCACCAAACACCATGAACCAGAACAGTAGTTGGCTGGAAGCACACAGAGGAGTCAGGGTCAGAGCCAAATAATTACTCAAACTTTGTCAGTCAATAAAGGCAGCTAATATTCCTCTCACCAGTTGCCTCTCATGTTTCTACCTGGCTGGTCTTTATATCTGGTGACTTGTTCTATACAAAGGGAAGAGCAGAACTCACACCTTGTCTTATAATTACAGGGTACCTGTAGTCTTGATTTGAATCTCACCACAGTATTTCACAGTTACTGTACGTGAAAGTTCTTAGGTAGGAGATTGTAAATGTAGATGAGGGTCATTCTTGTTCCACCAGGTCAGTGTGCTAGTGATGAGTATTGTGTGTACAGTAAGGTTAATGACTCCCCAGTAACAGAGACTGATGGCCCATATCACCAGCCTTCCAATTTACTAAAAACTCTTAACTCTTACGCAGCAGCGATCATCAATGGAAGTTAACCGTAAGAACGATGGCTTCTGCAAAAGTTCCACATCAGGGGAGAAGGGGGGGGGGGTTAGCTGTGGTTGAGGGTTAAGACAGTGTTCTTTCTCCCTCCTTAAAGGAAGTTAAAATCATCATTAAAGGGTCCTTGGATTCTCCCTCAAGCCTTGATGGAAGCATTACATCAAAGCCCTCTGGAATGGAAATCTCAGAATCTTGGGCACATAAGTTTCAGAGAACTTAAGAAGTTTACAGTTTTCTATGAAGGAAGAAGACAAATTTTTTCATGGTAAAAATCATCATTTTTTTTTCTTATAGAAAACAAAAGTTTGCAGCAGCTTGTTTCGTCAATAGAGACCATCAAAGTTTTGTGTTTCGAAGATTTTGAATTTTTTTTTTAAGTGACTTCCTTTTTTGTTTCATCATGCCCAACATACAGTACCAATGGCTCCTCAATATAAGCTGAAAACTTCATTGAGGAACACTTTACAGTATCTAGTCTAATGTTCCAGAACCACACAGCTAAGAAGTATTATTTGTATGTAAGTCTTGACCTTCTTGTCTGCCTGTAATAACTTAACCAACCCTCACTCAGGAACACAGAGGAGCATTGTGGTAAGGATCTCACAGGTCATTAGCTTCCTTCCCTTGGTCATAAAACAGGATATCAAACACCAACCTTTCAATTAAATGGTTTACACTCAAGTTAACTGAGAAGCTTCAAACACATCATGAAACACTCCAGAAAGATTAATAAAATACTGACAAGATTAACCAAGCTTCTTTACATAAACAGTACAGATTTTCATGATGGTAATACCTGCACTGTGTTCTGAATAGCTTGATCCAGACGAGAGGTTTTAGTACACAAATGATCACACGACTTCAATATTTAAACAAAACATCGTGACACAGAAAAATATCTATGAATAATTTAATACACTACTGTTGCATAATTTTACACAGAACTTAGACACATGTACTAGAGTATTGTACAGTTAAAAACCCACCCACCCACCCACCCACCCACCCACCCACACACACACACACACACACACACACACACACACACACACACACACACACACACACACACACACACACACACACACACACACACACACACACACACACACACACACACAGTGTTCAATTTAGACTTGGGTTATTCTACATAGGAGGCAGAACTTCAGCTGAAACACATCTTGAAGGTTAACTAAAACTGTTGCTCTTCTGCTGCTCCACGAGCCCTGAGATTCAGACTCGTGAACCTGAAGCAGTAGACAACGAAATATTATTTTGTCCATAAATACTTTGGATTACGAGTCTGAATCTCGGGGTTCGTGGAGCAGCATAAGAAGTGACAGGACATTTGTTCAAGACAGCAAACAGCAAAAATAAAACAATCTTGACCATCTTGACAGACAGTTAACAGTCATACATAAAACGTAATAACAAAACTCTGACGTCTATTAACCACTACAAAATAAATTTAAAAAACCCAAGACTTTAGCATAGTCTAGGTATTGTACCCATAAACAGTATTTGACTCACTCAAGTTACAAAGAAACATCATTAAGTAAATCAGTTCATAATGTATGCAGGAGTTGTGCATTTGTTCATTGTCTGTAAATATGGAGGATTGGGGTGGCCTCACTTCTGACCATTACTATATATCAGGGCCTTAAGTGGTAAAGTTTAGGAGCAGTTAAATCAGGGGCTGGTGGATCCTCTCCCCTTCTAACTTCTTGACAAAGTTTAATTTCCCTCAACGAAAGTTCTCTTATATTGCCTCATTTTGCAACTCTGGACTTCTTTACAACCTTGCTTATAGAGTCTAGGTGGCTCTGGATAACAGACTCTATCCGCAGCTCAGTGCCTCGACCCCTGGCACTCTTAACCCCTTCACTCTGGGGATGACATGATTGATTTTTTATATGGCTAACACCTGACGATTTTATTCAGGACAGAGAGGTCTCCACACACAAGGGGTTAATGGTTACATCTCCAGGTCATTATGGCTATAACGTGACTTACTGGTGTTTAAGATTTATATATAATAGAGGTAACTAACTCAGTGTAATGGACAGTATCTAGTGTTTGTCAAGTGTTGATTTTAGGTTCTTACATTTACACTACAGTATTTTATCAGTATTGTAGGATCACCTAAGATTTAGTCCCCTGTCAGTTTATTTCACCTTTATTGTTTTATATTTCAATTTATCATAGCACCACTTTTCAGCTTACTAGCCGTTTGGGTGGTTGGTCTGTTCATTACTTTGTTATTAACTTTATTGTCCAGTGTTAGTGGAAGAATAAACTGGAGTACCTGGAGAAACTTGTGATGTTTAGTAGCGAGTCACACTGGATAACACGCTCCTCACGTCTGTCCCACAGGACACGAACCCAGACCATGGTTGTGAGATATACAGGTACCAGCTTATTTCACCTTAAGATTAGCTACCCTAACACTACCTGTGGAATAAGGTTAGGTTAAACTACAAATGTAAAATAACTGGAGGTGGCTAATCTTCAGGTGATCTGTATTGTACAACCATTTACCATTACGATTTCATAGTTAAGTTAACACATCTATAATATAAACTACTACAGTGTATTGTATTATAGATCTTATTACTTGTTGCCCTTTATCCTGACTGCCAGTAAACGGTAAATACTCATACCAATTGTCCATAATAAACATATTTTCACTTAATCTGAAATATGGCTAAATTTAATACCTATTATAAATACAATTTTATTTGATATTTTCTAGTTTCAGAATACCACCATTTTTATATATACCTGTACTGTATATAATTATTTCATCTTACCTCTGCTACCACCCATGTATCAAGTGGTCAAAATTAAATAAAAAATGTACCATTCTTCACCCTGTTTGACCTTCACCCTGTTCGTTGACCTTCACCCTGTCTGACCTTCACCTTGTCTGACCTTCACTCTGTTTGACCTTCACCCTGTCTGACTGTTACCTTCACCCTGTCGTCACGGTGGTCGGCCACAAGTGAGTAAAAGAAGGATAATGTTTTTAATGTGGCCAAAAATATTTCATAAGGTTTGTTTGGTACTAGTGTGTGTGTGGTGTGTGTGTGTGTGTGTGTGTGTGTGTGTGTG